TCTGGAACTCATGGTATCTGCTTGCCTCAGCTTCCTAAATGCTGGAGTTGTAGGTATGGGCTACACGGTTTATTTTAGCATAGGGTACTGAATCCAGGCGCTTGCATACAGTAAACAAGCATCAGAAAGTTCTATCTTGAGTCAGGGGCTCACACTGTATCTCATGAGGGCTGGCCGGGAACTCCCTCTGCCTTAGTCTCCAGTGCTGCCATAATTCTGTGGGTCGCAATACTTGGCTTACTGTCAGTTTATTACAAGTGTGAGCTTGTGCCAGTATAACAGTGGTATACAATGCCTAGAGGTAAAATTGCTAGATAAGGGTTTTGTGAATTTTACGGTTTGGGGAGGTAACTGCCTTATTCTCCAAAATATGTTATATAGCTAAGGAATACTTAGAAAAATTTCTCTTTTTTTCATTTTGAATATTAGCAGTCTTTAGTCTTTGCCAGTCCAGTATATGGAGGGGGGGGGGGCAAAAAGAAAAGATGTATTGTTACTCTCATAATTTTTGGTTTTTCAATGGCATGAGAGTGAACAAATTTTTAATGCTTAGACACGTATTTTTCTGTTTACATCTTCTCTCTATATTTTTATATGCCACTTGGGAAGCCAGATACTTGTTTGTTTGCCTCAACTTTTCCAGTTTTTATCTCTCTGTGTGTGTGATTAGACCTATTTCCACAAGAAGCCTAGGCTCCCAGGGTGCTCTTACCTCTTCCACTCTACTTCCACTCTCTCATCTGCCTTATGTTCTAAAACCCAACTTCACCTTCTAAGTGTCTGCAAAGCCAATGCATCCACTGTCTCCTCCCAGCCAAATGTCCTGTGTGTCCTTCCTCCTTTGTATATTTCTTCACTTTCCGGAGAACACATCTTTCTATGATGCCCACACTCTTCCCCATCTTCCCAGGGCCAGACACCCACACCCACATAAAAGAAAAAGAAAAAAGAAAAAAATACACCAAGTCCAATTTGTGTTGCCCATATATTCATGGGAGCATGGTGAAACTCCTGGTGGCCAGCCCCTTAAAGAAAACTGAGTCTGCTCACCACCTCACCAGAAGCCATCAACTGTGAAGAGCTACACTTCAGCACCTTTACCATAGTTTTTAAGGGCTCTCTTACTAGCTTCTTGTCTGAGCTATTTTTATTGGAAGGGGAGGGGGCGTCATCACAGAAGCCTTAATGTCTCTATTCTCCATTATGAGCCTGTGGTCATCCATAGCACTGCAAAAGAAGCTTTCCTGCCCATAGCAGCTGGTGCCAGTGTGGATCACGGACTTCCACATGGTTTCTGGCTACAGCGTGGACCACCGACTCAATGTGGTTTCTGTTGGCAGAGCAGATCACAGACATCAGTATGGCCTCTGGCAGCAGCACACTCCATGGAGGTCCTTTTGAGGAGGCTTAATCCAGAAAATGAACCATTCTGCATCTCCCGTATCTTGCTGTTCAGAGTCAGGGTGGTCATGCGGCTGAGCAGCGTGTTTGGAAGCAGTTGACTGATGATTCATGGGGGATGGCTCAGCTCACTGGGAGGTACTACCCTTGGGCTGGTGGTCCTGGGTGCTATAAGAAAGCAGCTTGAGCAAGCCATGAGGAGCAAGCCAGTGAGCAGCACTCCTTGTGGCCTCTGCATCAGCTTCTGCCTTCGGGTTCCTGCCATGCTTCTCTAAGTGATGGACTTAAAAGTTGTAAGGTGAAATAAACCCTTTCCTCCTCAAGTTGCTTTTGGTCATGTATTAATCACAGCCATAGAAACCCTAAGATGGTTGTTAACAGCTGCATATACCCAGAGCCTGAAGCAGTAGAACATGAAATTAGAAACATAGTAGAGGAAAATGACACACACTAAAGGAAGGAGCCTATCGTCCCTGTGTAAGTTTCTTAGCAGTAGCACAGTTCAACACTAAAGTCTGGTGATCCATACAGGAACTCCTATGATTTGAACCAATGTCACTTTTGTTCTTTAGCATTAAGTGAGCACAGGTAATGCCTTGTAGTACTGCATTTATTTTAAAGGCCAATTCTGACTTATTTTTAACAATTTAGGCAAACAGACTTACCAAGTTTCTATTTGCATCGGGCTAGGCAGTGGAGGATACATAGGTTCTCCCAGGATCTCCAGAGTTTGGTAGAGTGTGAATGAACATGATAGCAAACCACCATCCTGAGGTCAGTGTTCAGTGTTCAGTGTTGATGCCAGGGCCATCTGCAGTATAGACAGGGACTGCCAGTGGCTGAGGAGTTGTGTAAATGTGCAAGTTGTGCAAATGCCCCAGCAGGCAGGCGAAGCTGTGGGGTGCGAGGGTGATGACCCTTGGTTCCATGCTCACTGGGCAAAGAAGCAAGTGTGTAGTACTTAAGGGTATCTAAGATCCTATAGTTTTAGGTCAACTGATCTAGTGCTTATGTATCTTAGTAACTGAATGATTAGATCAGAGGTGTCTTGAAGTTTCTGATCTACTTAGTTTAGATTTTTGGAGGCAAAACTCAAACCAACTAAGCTGCTTAGTTGCTTTTTTTTCATTAAAAAAAAGTCTGTCTATCTCTATTCATCGATTGTGTGTGTGTGTGTGTGTGTGTGTGTGTGTGTGTGTTTGTGCATGTTC